GAATACATTTTCAGGATATGTTCTTTGTAGAAAATGAGGCTATGGGCAAGGAAATTGATATCTCTTTTGTCTACTTCTAATAAGATTTGAGTAACCAAATTGTGTGGATCCATATTTGATTTGGGTTTGGGTGGTAACCCGATTATACTATGGTTGGGTTTGTAGTTTCATTGATTCATTAAGGGTTAATTTGTCTTTAGACACATTTTCGTTTAAAAAAAAAATCAAAACAATATTTTTTTTTATATCAGGGTCTTTAAAATTATGATCCCCCTTTTACTAGGGTTTCAAACGGCGGCTTTCTCATCACATCGGAGGCCGATAAATCACATTCCGTTTTTCATTTTTCTTCGGTTTCGATGGTTGCAACGTTTATTAGTGAGTACAATCCTCTCAATCGATCCATCGTTAGTTCTTTTTCTCCTGTTCCCAAATCCGTTCTGGCCGCAAATGTATGTAACGGGGTTAATGGATTTTGGGACTGGGATAATGGTCCTCTTTCGCAAGGATATGTTTTTGATGATTTGCGTAGAAATATTGAAGCCGGTCTGAAACAATATCGCAATGAACTTTACTTGGAGACTTTTACTGCCGTGGGAAACTACTACGGTTTGGCTAAGGAGGAACCCTATGTAGATAGGATTTATGTTGCTGGTGATAGATTTGGGCGTTTGCAAGAGTGGTGTAGGACTTTTGATACTCCGGTTAGGAGCACAGCTTGTGAAAGATGTAATCAGGAATTCCCAAAGATCTATCCGGATGATTCACATTTGATTAATCAAGATCAATTTTGTAGACATACGGATGTTGGAGATGCAATGTTGGCCAGAGAGATGAAGTATTTGCAGCTTCTCCGTGATCCTCCCGGGTATGTCCTCTTGATATCAGGTGATAAGGATTTCACACTCCCTCTGATGTCTTTAGTACAACGCGGTTGGCAAATCCTCGTAGCAGAGCCAAATCAAATTCATAGGAGTAAGTATCGCCGATTTGCGCGGGCTGTTTGGAAATGGGGTCAGTTGAGTCATGGATTTGAGCCATTCATACGTCATACTGCTCGTCAGGTTGATGATTCCGTTAGAAGATTCAATATGTCAACACTATGGTCTATCCGTTAGAAGCTTCGATATGTCAAGACTATGGTCTATGTGACTGGAGAATTTGGATTTTTTTTGCTGTTTTTCTTGTTCAATTTTTTCTTTTGTTAAGTTTCTTTTGCTTCTTTTGTTAAGTTGCTTTTGAAAGTTGGTTTCGCATCACACACGGCAATAGACCCTCAAAATGGATCATCTTGTATACCACAATATTACCATCTGAACGAGATGTCTCGAGGTAAAATGTCTGGGAACACATTAGAGATGGATGGTCACCAGTGAATAATATTGACTGCTTTTTAACAAATCTCTCATCTGCCATTGCTTGAAGATACATCTAAACCTAGCTAGAGATCTGAGCGAAACCCTAGGGAGTACATCCTCTAGCAAAGTTTCCTCTTTTAGTTGTGAATTGAGCAGCATTCCAAGATTACTTCCTCTGGGACAAACCCCAAGCTCTTCATCTCACAAAAAGCTTCCAATGCTTCTTCCTTGAAACCTTGTTTGCATATGAGCTTGTATATGTGAATTCAGTAGGTGGCTCGACCATTTCTATTCATAGACCTATCACTTTCTCTAGAGAAGTGATTTCTTCTCAAGAGATGAGAGCATGAAATACACCCAAGCAGAGAGGATTATTCGCCTTTCTTGAACAGCTTCGCAGAGCATCAACAAGGCATTATGACTTCCCATCTGGCATACGTGCACAACATTTTACCACAGGCTACTGCATCTGGTTCACATCCCACTTCGAGTATTTCCAAGCAGGTTTTCTCGGCCAGCTTTATCTTCCCGCTTGGTCCATACAAACGAGGAACAAGACGGTAGCTCAACTGTTGACAAACAAAAAAAATCTATCACCAAAACTTCATTAGTCTATATAAGAAATGAGACAATGTTGTTGACCAGGCAAACAACTCTCTAAGAGACAAAGAGGCAGAGACACAAAATCCGACCAGTCAATCAATTCTTATGTTCTCCTATGACTAGGGTTCCATCCTAAATCCAGACTCTTACAACAATGGATTTCCTAACTAAAACTCCTAGATGAAAGCTTCACGATCCAAGCAAGAAATTCCCATCAGAAATAGATACAAAATGTCTATACTCAACTCCGAAAATTCTGTAAGAAACCAAAAAAAAACTCAGCTGAAAGCATTCAATTAAACATCATTTCAACAAGAAGAATCCAGATGAAAGTATCCAAAGATGTTCAGAATAAAAGAATAATCAAGGTTCGAACAAGAAAGAAATGTTCAGAATAAAAGAATAATCAAGGTTGGAACAAGAAAGAACCTGCCGTTTCATCCAGGCGAAGAAATCGCTAACTTCTCTCCAACCTGTTTGCTCTTCCAAAACAATGCACATCTCTTTGAAAGTTAGCTTCGCGACGAAGAAACCCCTCACAACCCTCATTAAAGCACTACCTTCTCTCCTCTGTGACAAGCAAGCCTCTCACCATCTTAATTCGGTTTGATGTGGTTTGTCCACGACCACAATTTGCTTTCTCGCTTTTTGATCTGATTTTCATTTCTGCATTGCAACAACTGCCTCCTTAGATCTCGTACCAGCTCATTAAGCTTATGAATATTCTTTTCTTGAGAGAGAATTTTCTGCCACAAAAAAGATAGTCATATGATCATTAGATCATACTATGAAGTATATCCTTTGGCAATTACATACAAGTAAGTAAAAGTTAACTAAGAGTGTAGGGTTTTTCAGAGAAGTATGCTTAATTTGGTTTTTCTTTCCTACAAAACATCACTTTATCGCTTTCCCGAGACTATATTAACAATGATACACGAGAAAGAAGTTCTTAACGATAAAGAAACTAAGCGATACGCTGAAACGTAATGTGTCACAGCATCTCAGAGAAAGCATTGGAAAAGTTAGGTAATCAGTTTAGGAATCCATCTCCTTCCTTATGATCAACATACATACATAACTATAATCGTGTCAAAGAGAAAGAAAACAACACCTTTTCTTGCAGAGAATCTTTGCCTTGTGGTGTATGTTGCTCTTGATCTGAAAGAACGAGAGGACTACTAGTCACATCAATTTCACTCTCAAGTTGCTCCTTCCACTCGAATTGAGAAGTCAACACAATGAACATAAGAACAAACAAACGCACCCACGATCTCGTCATCTTGCAGATAATAATAGTCCTTTATTATTGTCTTGGCTTTAGTCTGTGCTACATAACAAACACCACAACTCA